ACACACACACACGCACACACACACCTACACACGCACACACAGACACACACACACACTTACATACATTACAAACATTACAAACCTACATATTATATATATACACACAGAGACACACACATACATACATGACATACATAAACACTCTCAGACATACACACACACACACACACACACGTACACACACACATACATGACATACAAAAACACTCTCAGACATACACACACGTACACACACACACACACACACACACACACACACACACATACACACAGACACACACAGACAGACACACCTACACCCACACACACACATACATGCCATCCATACTGTATGATTTATTTCACAGCATCAGCAAACAGATTGAGGCTTGTTTCGTTGTGGTGGAGAAAGACCCCAGCTGCAAGCTGGAAAATCTGAAGGTCGATAGCACAGAGCAAAAGTTTTTCGACCTCTATGGAACTACGTGTGGTAAATAACAAAGTCACTGTCCTTTCTGCTCTGCGTCTTTAATAAAAGAACAAATGAAATGTGAAGTGTGCAGACAAAATGAGTTACTTCTCGGATGCAAGTCAAATGGAAATAGAAACATCGTGCTTATAAATGAAGTTTTACAACTTGTAAGTATGAAATATTGTTTGTTTTAGTAGAGGTTTTACGGCGCTCGCAACTGCATGGTCATATGAGCGCCAGAAGATTAGAGGTGTTACAAGAGAGTAACAAACACAACAATGGAGAAGGGGAGATAAGGACGACAGATGTTTGATATGAAAGAAGAAGCAATCCACACCAGAGCACCCGCCCACCACCCACAAGTATGAAACAATAGGAGGCTTGTTATACATAAACAAATAGAGCATCGATAGAAGATCTAGTAATTTATTTGACCTCGGTGTTGATTTTTTGGGCCAATATTCCATTTGTGGATTGCGAGAAGTAACTCATTATGTCAGCACGCCACACAGATTATCATTCACGCACGATCAGCCGTGTTGTATTCCAAGACAAAAGTCAATGTCAGTCTTCGTGGTGAAATCAGGCACTTGTCAAAATAATGAAATCAAAGAAATCATCATTTATTTTAGGGCACATAGGCACATTTTTTTTTCTTCGAATTTTTTTTTTTTGACGAAGCATCTTTTATGTCTTTTTAAAAACACATTTTTGTCAGGAGTTTTATTGAAAAACATTGATTGAAGGCACAAAAAGCTGTAAATTTTCAGTTTCCAAGAACTCTCAGGCAATGGAAGTTACCAAAACTTGGGCTGCCATTTTCTAGCTAATTGATTTATCTCTAAAACCAGGCTACCCTGACCTCCTTCAATCGCAAATATTTCGACTTCTATAGAGCAAAGATGTAATAATAATAATAAATAGCATTTGCATAGCGCATATCCCCGCGAAACAGCAGGCTCTATTCGCTTTACACTATATTATTATGTACATTGCTTTCACCAAAAGGATGGCAAATGATCAGGCTTTAAAATGATGACAATAACCCCACATGCCCAGAAATTGACGAGCGTATGATTCCACCACGTCGTGAAAAAATACTTTCTTTTACTTTATTATTATTCCTCTTTTATCGTTAGATGTCGAGGGGAGGGGAGGGGAGGTGAGTGAGGGGAGGGGAGGTCTAATCAAAAGCTAGGTGAATGGCTTCTGTTCTTGATAATCATGTAGGACCTCTTTATCCACACCCAGTCAAGTGTTGCGTGGTCTGCCCCTACATTTGCGGTCTGACCTTTTTGAGTTGTAAGCTCGTGCAGCTGCCAGCTGGTTGATTTGGTGACAATTTCATCAGATGACCGAACAACTTCATTCTTCTCTGTTTTATGTGGCGTCGGTGGCCTAGTGGTTAGGCTCTCGGACTTGCAACCGTAAGGTCGTGGGTTCGAATCCAGTCAGGGGCCCGACGTTATGTCCTTGGGAAAGGCACTTTGCACAGATTTTCCTCACTTCACCCAGGTGGAAATAGGTACCCGGCTATAGACAGAGAAAGATCTGGTCAGTTTGATAGTGTTTGAGCACGTGAAATCCGCACCTTGCACTGTATGCTTCCGCGGAAGCCGAGTATGTTTCTGAATGTTCTCAGAGGGTCTGCTGGGGTAATAAAAGTTGTAAAGCGC